TCCAGTTCTCACTTGCTCTCACTTTCACAAATCACGTCAAATCAAATCTCCTTTCAAAGCAAATTATGCTGAATCTCTCAAACTATTTCTTGGACACTTCTCGATATATGCTGTGTCCTTCTTAGGTTCACTTCTCGGTTTGTGCGTTCAGCACAGGTTCAAAATCATGAATGCAAAGCAAAACCGCGCTCCTTTTACGCGCAAAATGCACACATCTTGAGCCAAAATTATTGGCAAGGTCACATGTTCCAGGCTCTGGTTGCAAAGGTCATCAACTGTCCATGCTTTGGTTGAAATCATCACCAAACTTCAAGCTAAAAGATCGCACCTGGCAGCACAAGCAATGAGTCGGAAACACCCCGATGAGCAAATTGGTTTGTGGGTCATTGTGCAGGTGCCTTGGAGAACACGGCCGCCTTGCGTTCTGTACCGAAAGCAATGCTGTTTTGGCACAGATTCTGTTTTCTCTCGGAGACACCACCGATGTACCCTGCCAAAGAATCCTGAAAGTCCATCGTTGATCACTCCTGGATCACCTCTCCATACCATTGTGTTTTTCCTCGCCTTAACGGAATTCGCAGGGAGCTTCGTGCATGCGGAGGGGAGAGGATGACTTTGATTTCAGGAATCCGGGAACAAGTGATGAACCCAACTGGCGAACACGTCTAGCCCAGATTGGAGGGTTTGGGTATTGCAATCCAGTCACCCGCTGGCAAAGGGATGAGTAAACCTGCAGGATGTTGGATGGTATTCGGCTTTATGAGCCATTGAAGGGACTGACTGAGCAGGACTCGCAGACTCGTTCGATTTCTGTGGGGCTCGCCCTAAGATTCCAACCATCCTTGATTAATGGTGTTTCAAAGAACCTCCATGGTGTTCCCTAGGGCTCCACCTTCTGAGAAGGTGTTTAGGGTGGGTTTAGAGGGTCCAGATACTTTCTGAGGAGGTACGACTGGAGCCGGGTTTTGCATGTTTTTGCTATATGAGACGACCAAGCCTTGGTCATATTCACGCCTGACATCGATAATCGGATCGCCCAGCTGACTCGCTTGGCTTTCTGCTCGACGGACCGCAGGAGATGGTGAACTCCAAGTACCTCGCAATGATCGAGGCGACGCTGCGGGCGGGGCTCGTCGGAGCGGCGGGCGTCCGGAGGGCGACGGGCCCAAGCGACGGGCCAAGGAGGTTGGTCGCAAGTTGGACGGTTGCAGGTTGGTCTCGGACCAAAGGGCCCCAAGCAAATCGACCGGAATCTATATAATTCAATAGTCTTAGACAAGGCTGGGAGCCGGAATTGATGCCCCAGAAAGACCCCTGGAAAGTTTACCACACCAATGTAGGTAAATGTGCCAGTCTCATGGAGTGTTTGGCGATGAGACTGATTTGTGCCAACAAATTGAGCATGGCTCATGTGGTACTAGGCCCTAAGGCGTTGCAGGCTATCAAAAGTCGTGGTCTGCCTTTTTGGTCAGATGCCGTGGCTCAGGGCGACCACCAAGTAAAGCACAAAACAGGCACAATAATCACGCATAGACTGCAGATACCAGAGCGAATCCTGTCGGCCCAACTCAAAGGCCGCAGTCAACTGTCCAGTGTTCTGAAAAACATTATATAGATCGGCCCCCAAATAGATAGACATGGTTTCCAATACATTTTAGTGACGATTTACATGTTCATTAAAAAA